AAGGTAAAATCAAACTAAAGAAAAAGAAAGAAAATGCGAAAAACTATAATCAAAAGATATCATTTGATTGAATTCTTCAAGATGAAGCAGAAACAAGAAAAATTATGAATCAAAAAAATTTTCAAAAAATAAAAACTAAAAAAGGCTCCATGCAGTTGAGCTCTTTATGAGGCAACCAAACAACGCGAAATCAGAATAAACAACATAAAAATATAAAATTATGCCAAAAAAAAGAAAAAAAAAAACTGAAAGAGCTCAGAGATTCAGGAATCAAAGGATATAAATGACAAGAAAAATGCGCGGAACGAAACACTCACCTGCTCACGGTAGTCTCTCTCTTATTTTGAGGTCTGATTCTTCACATTCCTTGTTTTCTTTTCTTCTAATTTTCTAGTACCTTGGAGAACGAATCGTCAAGATACGAGAGAAAATGAGCATTGGATTCAGGAACGAAGAGGCATTGCTTTGCGCGAAAGGAGAGCTTGTTTCGTTTCTCTCTCAGAACGGATTTCTGGACGAATGGGCCGCAGAGAGAAAGAAGATCTCGGAACCAATTTCTTTGTTTCTTTGTTTCTACTCTCTATCTTTTACCGCTTACTGTTTCGGTGTTGTTTGTTTGTCTCTGCTCCGTGCACCACATTAGCGTCAGGTGCACTCCGCAAACAGAAACAGCAGAGGGAAGGGACTAGTGAGCGGTAATGGCGGAAGCAAAATACTCAAAAGCCCTCCTCCATTTAACTTTTATCCACTACTTCTTGTCTCTTTTTTTATTAAATTAAAATTTTAAAGAAAATATTTATACACATTTATTCATATTATTCTAAAAAAATTAAAAAAATTTAATTGAATAATTAATTAAAATAAATAAATAAATAATAATAGAGTTAAAATTAAAATATACTTATTAATTTAAAGTCAATAACACAGTTATTTTAAGAGAAGAAGTAATAGTACGGTAATTACATGGGAGCACTTGATTGAGATTGACTCTTGAGAAAATTAATGACGTCAGCTGGCACCCAAACACAGACCGTTTGGGACTTAACGGTCAGCAGTGACGGCAACATGGACGGTGTTAGGGGAGGGACGACAACGAACAAAAAAAGCCAAGTAGAGGGATGACAACGAACATGACCTTAGTAGAGGGACAAGAACGAATAAAATATTAAAGTAGAGGGACGACAGTTGGCTTTAAACCTATTTTCCATGGATGCATTCGGAGTACCGTATTCCTCTCTCACAGGACAAACCTAGCCAAAGTAGCACGGCAAAGTGTGCACGCCTCCGTATACGGCTGCCGATGGAGTACCCGGTACTCTCCGCAGACACGACAGGACACGGTAGAAAGGGACCATACAGACACGCCCACTGAAGAAGACGCGTTTTTTTGTTGGGATAGGACTCTTGTCGATATACGTAACAACACAGACAGCAGGGTCAGGTCTAAATAATTGCAGGTACCCTGCCTGTACGGGTACAAAAGAAATTTTCACTCAAAGGTGAAGAACGTGATATGTTAAAAATGATTCATTTATAGTTACGTGTTCTTCTTCTTCTTCTTCTCTTCCTTTTTTCCC